CTGGCTGGGCAGGAGGAGGCAGGCTGCGGCCCCTGCCTCCAGGACGTGAGGCCCAGGGCAGCCGGGCCACTGCTGTGCTCCCGGTGGCACCCCCTGGCTCTGGCTGTGTCTCTGCCCCAGGCCACCTGCCTCTGGTCACCCAGTCTGGTCCCACTGCAGGACGAACCTCTGGAAAATTAGAGGATAAATGTTCACCAAGCTAAAGGGAGAGATCTCCATGACCGCCCACTCAGGACTGGGCGGGAGGCCGGTTCTGGGGACGCGAGGGGCTTGGGCTCCAGACCAGCCTCCAGCCCTCGTGCCAGGTCGGCTCCCCTGGCTCGTCCACCACAGGCTGGCGGCCCAGGTGATCAAGAACCCTGGCTTCTCTGGGGATGGCCGGGCGGCGGAGGTGACGCTGTGTCAGCTCTGCTGGTCCCTAGGAAGTGCGTGGCGGGAAAACAGACCCCAGGGATGTCACGTGAGGTGGCAAGCATCAAAGATAAAGCCTGAGGAGCCCGGCCAGTATGGCTCAGTGGCTGAGCATCAACCTATAAACCAGGAGGTCACGGTTTGATTCCTGGTCAGGGCACATGCCCAGGTTGCGGGCTCGATCCCCACTAGGGGGGCTGCAGGAGGCAGCCGATCAATGATTTGCTCTCATCATTGATGTTTCCATGCCTCTCAACCTCTCTGAAGTGTGTGTGTGTGTGTGTGTGTGTGTATTTATTTATTTATTTTGTAAAGATGATACCTGAGGAAGCAGGCCAGCGGATGGACACTCAGGTCAGGGAGAGCCCATGTCGCCATGACCCGACACCTCCGTGGTGGCCCCTGGGCCTGAGTGAGGAAGGGGTTTGCTGCCAGGGGAGGGGTTGGGCCCAGAGCCCTAGAAAGGGGCCTAGGCAGGAGGTGCAATGTTTCTGAGACAAAACAGCCCTAACACCGAGTCACTCAGCCCTCAGCCCTCAGCTTCCTCCCTCGCCAGGGCTGTGGGGGCCGGTGGTGCAGCCAGCGAGTCAGGAGGCCACCGAGGGGCTCACCTGGAGGTCCCGGCCGTCTCCAAAGCCTGTGTCTGCACAGGCTTCCCGCCCCAGGCCCGGGCCCCAGCACGGCGGCTGCAGGGCGCAGAGCACTCCGTGGAAGGAGCTGGTGCACGGTTTCCCTGGGTTCAGTGAATGCTGCGTGAAGGTTACAGGGAAGGGGAGGGTGAGAGGGAGAGGAGCCGGGGGAGGAAGAGCAAGACACGCTCCTGGGAGCACATGCATCCATTTAAGGAAGGAAGCTCCTCGCCCGCACAGCAGGTCTATATACAGCAGCAGCGGCTCTCCTCCCGAGCAGTGTCGCCCTCGACAGACGGCCGAGGATGAACCCCTCCGGGCTCCGGGCTCGGCCCCCCACCTACCCCCCTCCCTACGGGTCCTCCCCGGGCTCACCTGGCCCAGCCTCAGCCAAGACCCCCAGGCACTGGGCAGGGAGCAGACAGGGAGCCACAGGCAGGAATTAAATAGTGGCAACTCATTTATTACAATTATGTACAGTCGCATCTCATGTTCTGAACCTATACCTGATCGCACAAATGAACGTGTTTCTGGACTGAAGGACAGACAGGAAGGCCCTGACGCCTGGCTCCTACGAGAGTGGCAGCCACACCTCGCCACGAAGCAGGGACAGTCACACGTGCGGTGTGATTTCACTGGTTTGGGAGGACGACAGGGCACAGTGGGGCTGGGACAGGCGGCCTGGAAGGCCCTGGCCAGAGCCCCTGCCCCCACAGCATGAAACGAAGGGAGGAGCCAGGGTGGGGAGGGGCGAACAGCAGACAGGGTCACGCTGCTGCCCCCTGAGGGCCAGCAGTCAGGTAGCAGCTACCTCTTGTCATGCACGGTGTTAGGTCAGCTAAGACGCTCAGCAGACACAGCCTGGACAAGCCATGGGTCCAGGAGCCCGGGCGGGGCCCTCGGCCTGACAGGAGAATAGGTCGTGGCCGTCTGTGGGGTGGAGCTGAGGAAGCGCAGGTGCGGCTGGGTGGATAGAGTGCAGCCCGCGCAGGGCCAGGTGTGCACAGGGGCCAGGTGTGC